AACAACATCATCCTTGGGTATGACCATCAAGGTCAAGGTTTTACATTTTTCATACAAATGACTGAAAAGACTACATGATCATATTCCTTCCAGTGCTATAGTTTTATCTGATTAAAATTCTCTCTCATTGTTCTCAGAATTTTAATGCATAAAACTCATAACTTTGCTTGGATTGTTCAAAATTATTTCATTTTCTTTTTAAACCAGGTTTTTGCTTGATGTTTCTACTACTTAATGTATCTACTTAATGTTTCATCATGATTTTCTTAAGTAGGGTGTCAGAACCCTTGAAAATTGGCTTTTCAGCCATTGTATTAGCCACTGTTGTGGGGCCATGGACTCCAGCTACCTTAACTGCAGACACATGGTTTTGCAAATCATCAACAGCTTTGGGAACAATATAAGAGAGAGAATTCTACACTGTGAGGTATCCTGGTAGTGATGGTGGTTGAGAGAGGGAGAAGAGACGTTGCAATGCTATGAAGATATTGTGGCAAGGTGTAACAAGAGGAACCCTGAAACAAAAGTCAAGATTAAAAGCTTGGTTTGCGGGATGACTGGATGAAAAGCTAACTTCTAACTGCTCTGAGGCAAACTTCGTGGAATAATTGAGGTAACCTGTATTTGTGTGGCTAAGCTGAACCTGGACTTCCACTAATTAGGGAATTGTGCCTTGTTAATCTGGCTCGGAATTCTGGACAAAGACTGGACTTGCACTGGGCGATAGTCTTTGCTTCCCCCACTCTCCAACTTATTTCCCTAATAAATTCTATATCTGTGAGTCAACAATGAATGTCAGACCTGAATAATTAGTAGAAAGCACACAGGAAGTGGCATGTCTGACCGAGGAGCTATCTATTTGCTACTATGGATACTATTGATGGGGAAAGTTATCCTGTATGAAGTAGGCAAAAGCCAGACTTGGCCATCCTCATGTTGCAGTGGCCGCTTTTGAAGTAAGTCTTATTTTTAGAACTTTTATGAAGTAGTGAATGGCAATGAGTTTTCAGAATATAAACCAACATGAGAGCAGAATTAAGTTTCAATAAAATAAAGTCAGATTTCTTTATTATTAACATACCTTTTTGAGTCTGGTCATACCTGTTTATGTTTTTGGAATGATTTCTTGTCATACACTTTTTTGGGAACCTCTCCGTATTTCCTCGATGTTAAAGGCACTCCATACTTAGCAGCAGGCTTTGTGATCTTCTGAGCAGGCACAACAGGGGCCGAGTTTTGTCCTGGAGCTGGCCTTTTGGCTACAGGAAACATTTTTTTAAAGGTTTTAAAACTTTATTTCTTTTAAAGAAAGTTTTAAAAATGTTTAAAAAGCTCATGTTAAATCTTTAATTTTAAAATTCTTCTAGATAATACTTTTCCCCAATCACTGGCAGCATTTAATTTTAAATTTTTCATAAAAAACTATACCCATTTCTTAGTATAATACTTCCACTGTAACTATTTTACACTGAAGTCATTTTTTAAAAAAATAAAAAGTCACAATTCATTAAAATTTCTCACTAAAAAAAAAGAACATTTCTAAAATTGGCTCTGGTGGTGGTCATCTGCATGGCCTACCTGGAAATACACGAAAATTAGAAATTTATATATTTCAAATGAGTCAATTATACAAGATGTGAA